CCACCGTCAGCTCCGTGAACAAGCCCGTCTTCCTCGGCTTATGCTCAAGTCGGGCCTGTCCCCCTACAGGGGGATTTTCGACGAAAAATAAAAAATGCTCAAAAAATACTTAAAGATGCCCCAACATACTAATCAAATAACCCCCAGACTATTTTTTGCTGTTTTTGAATATTCCCCCTGTAGAGGGACAGGCCCAACTTCCTCGGCTTATGCTGCTCCCATCGTGCTTAAGGACCAAATCCCAGACAGAACTTCGAGCACCCCGAAAAGCATCGAAAAGGTGTCGAACGAGTCTCGCCTCCCAGGGCGTGACGCGTGAAAACCCTCCAGTTTCGGTACTTTCTTGGTGCTCGAAACTATTCCTGGTGGTCAAGGCGAAAGTGATCTTGGGAAATCATGATCCTCAGCTTGTCGATGACCACCAGGTCGAGCGGGATCTTGCTGTGCAGCCCCGGGGGGTTGTACCAGGCGCACCTGCGCTCCGGGAGCCCGCACCCGTCGATGTAGCAGTCCCACACGGAGGCGATCACGAAGATGCGGCGGACCTTCTCGAGCCCGGCGCTGCGCGAGCTCGCCGCGGCGTCGACGGGGCGAAACCCGTCCATGAAGCTGCTCTCGTTGGAGCCGTAGGCCCCGAACTGCGGCACCACGAACGCTCGCACGCCCCCCGGGGAGCTGTCGCTGCCGCTCGCCGTGAGCGCCGCAAAGCGCGCGGCGGCGCCGTCCTCCTGGTAGGCCTTTCGCAGAACGGTCGTGCCGCCCAGCTTCATCGGGAGGAACTGGCCCACGGCGTTCTCGAGCCACTCCCCGTCCGGCGTGGGTATGCCCTTGATCACCTTGTTCCACTTCGCGACCACCTTGCCAGACCTCCTCTCGCCTGCCTTCTTCACCAGCACGGGGTCGTCCAGGTCCTTGCTGAGCAGGACGGGTACGCCCAATTTCGTGGACTCGGGGTCCAGCTCGCTGTTGTCCGCTATCCAATTTTGGTAGGGAGACTGCGCCCTCAGCAACTCCTCCGAGCTCTCGCGGGTCATCATCCGCGTCTTCATGGTCGGCAGGTTCGACAGCGGGCAATCGCCCCGCAGCACCTCGAACCGGTACAGCGTGCAGCCCTCGGGTAGCGCGCTGCCTCGCAGGTCGGCCTCCGCCTCCTCGCCCTCGTCGTACTGGTCCTCCTCGTCCTCGTCCTCCCTCTGGTAGTCCGTGGCGAGCGCCCACAAAACGCGTTCCAGGTCGGGGCCGCCTGGCGCCTCGCCGCCTTCCGCATCAGCCGCCGCGGGAGGGGCCGCGGCGCCCGCGACGCGCTCGGCAACCTCCGGCAAGTAGACCCGAGAGACGCCGTCCTGCCCAGTGTGGTACCAAAGCCCATGCTTGCCAGGCGCCCAGTCCAGGGGGGACCCAGAGATGTCCTTAAAACCCCGCAGCAGCGAGACCTTCGCGCGGAGCGTGGCGTTGTTCTCGCCAGCCTCGCCCCAGCGCTTATCTTTCTGCGTCTGCTTCACGCACTCGAGGAGCTCCTGCAGCAGCGTGTCACCGCTGCCCCGCGACAAGCACATCCCGTACGTGTCTTCCAGGCCGCCGGGGCCTTCCCAGCTCAGCACGATGGGAAGGGACGGTGCCGTGCCCACGACCTTGCCGCTCCCCACGGAGCCCTCGTGGAGCGCGGCGAAGTAGCCCAGCTCGCGGTGCACGCAGCACAGCAGCGCGCACAGCTTGGCGATCTCCTGCGGCTTGCGCCCGAGCGCCTCCACCTCCTCCCAGCGCTGCTCGACCTCGGCGACGGTGAGGCCCCCGATGGTGGCCTCCGCGCTGGCCAGCGCGTGCCGCTGCGCGGGCCCCCGCCTCCTGCTGCCTGGCCGCAGGCGAGCCGCCGCTGCGAGGGCCGCCAGCAGCGAGGCGGCGCCAGCGCTGCGCCCCGCGAGGGCATCGGGAGCCGAGGCGCGGGGCTCCGTCGCGCCGCCGCCGCGCCTGCCCCAGGCTCCGCCGGCGTGCGGCGGGCGGCGGCGCGCCGGCGGCTGCTGCACGGAGGGCGCCGCGCAGGGGCGCAGGAAACCGAGCTCGTGGTTGTGCCCCATGGCGCTCAGCGCGGGGGGCGGCGGCAGCACATGCGGCCGGGCCCCGGCTCGCCGCGCGCGGCTTGAGCCCAAATGGTTACGGAACCTCCTTCTCCTCCTCTCCTCTCCTCTCCTCTCCTCTCCTCTCCTCTCCTCTCCTCTCCTCTCCTCTCCTCTCCTCTCCTCTCCTCTCCTCTCCTCCTCTCCTCTCCTCTCTCCTCTCCTCTCCTCTCCTCTCCCTCCTCCTCCTCCTCCTCCTCCTCCTCTCCTCCTCTCCTCCTCCTCCTCCTCCTCCTCCTCCTCTTCCTCTCCTCCTCCTTCCTACTTTCCATATGTTTTCTTGCCTGTTATACTTTGCGAGGGCGAAGCCTGTCCTGAATGTACGTTTCAATGGTGTGGCCGCGCTCGTGATTGGCGGCCAGCCTGGAGGGGAAGTGGGATGGGGCGGGCCTTCTCAGAAGGCTCGGAAGACCCCGCCCTCTTGAACAACAGAAAGGTTTCCCGAACCTTTCCCGATGACGCAAGCAACTTCTCAAAAGGCGCGAAGGCTTCTGAGAAGTCCCGCCGCGTTCTGCAAACAACCTTCTTTGTCACTTCCCCTCCTCGCTCGCCGCCGACACGAGTGCGTCAGTGCGCTCCTTCCGTGGCGCCATGTTCCCAGCAATTCCAGGTAACACTCCCCGCAGCGGAATGGCCGCGCCGTGGAAAACACGCGCCCGCCCCTTGCTCCTCCAGCTCGTGGGTGGGCCGTGGAAGCACGGCATGAATCGCATCGAGCTGGTGCCCGGTGCGCTGACGCTTTTGGGGCTGCGGGGGTCGATGGGGGAAATGGAGGGGAGAGGGACGCCAAGGAGGAAGAGGGGGAGGGGGAAGGGGGATTACAAATAAAGGTGTGTGGTAAGAAGCTTTGTTTTACGATGGAGTGAATGACGCAATTGACGCATAAAACGGAAATAGCATGGGCACGAAAGCTTGGCCAACTTTCGCACCCCCGAGCAAAAACGGCAACGGTGGGGGCGACGATTACAAGAGCAAAAGACAATGCGACAAGGACGTTCTGTGACAGAAGCATTGTGTCACATAACGTCACCTCTTCTGTCCTTAGCGTAGGGCCCCCAAACAATGACCTACCGTTCGAGTCTGGTGCTCAAGCGAATGCGGTTGTGCCTCGTCGGTCCGAAGGCCAAAACCGCACCCAAACTAACGAAACCAAAGTAAACTACGATGAGAGGGCGTTCTACTAACCACGTCCCTTATAAGCAGCTTCGCGATTAAGGGGGGCTGAGCACAGAAGACCTTCTACTGACCAGGTCTTTGATATAGAATTGCCTGGCAACAGAATGTTTAGATGGAGCGCGCAGCTGTTCACTCGCATGTTCTGCTGTCCGAAGCCTGCTGCCCCACGAACACAGTTCGGGGAAAAACAACCACTCACTGGCATGCCTTGCTCTTCGTACCTCTCTCTTCCTGATGGACTGTGTCGCACTCGAGAACACAATTCGCGAAATGCGTGTCGGTTGTGGCACTCGCGGACATAATCGCGACATGCGACGCCGATTGGGCTACCCAGTAGCGTCGTCGCTGTCCCTGTTGAAATTGCTGTGGCGGAAGCTCGGTACCGTCCTCTTGTGCCGCTGCTCGCTCAACCACGCTGTGGGTGTTCGTAGGCGAGCATCTCCTCCATGATGTGGAGGAAGAGCTCCCGGCCGATATTTCCCTTCGTCATGGTTTCGACCCTCCTATTGTGAGATTCGCACCACAGCATCGCATGCCTGTTGGGTGCGCGCCTGGTCTGCTAGCCGCCGCAGGTAGCCTGGCATGCTATTCTCTGATAGCGGCCGAGCGTGGTCCATGACCAGGGCCAAGAAGATGGACGTGCAGTCCGCGACCAACTCGGCCGGTGCAGCGGAACCTCCCTCATCACCCATCCTCCTCACTTCATCATTTGAGGCGGGTCCGCGCGCCATCTCATGAAGCATCAGGAGGTGCGCCTGTAGGCCGTATGCTGCGCCGCGCGCTGCGAGCAGCTCAGAACCGAACGTTGATCGACGCGCAAACTTGTGCGATCGGCCCACGGCGTCAAGTAAGTGGCAGATCTGTTTACCAGTGCTGCAACACTTGCCCAGACGCGTGTATCTGGCACCTCGCATGCCTTATCTTCTCCTCCTTACGCTCGAACGAGCCGTCGCTGTCCGTGCAGATCTGGCCTGAGCGCGCCATCGCTGGGAAGGTGATGCGCGCCTTGATCTTTTGCGTGGCCAGAACAACGGTGTTGAGCTGCGTCGCGTGTCCGACGAGCAGCTTGTTCTTGGCCTGTTGCAGCGCGACGATGTAGTCGGCGACGCGGTGTTGCGCGAGCAGTGCTTAGGCGGCTTTTCCGAGGAGGGAGACAAAGAAGTCCAGGAGGGGACCTCTGGCCCGCTCGTCGGCCTTCGACTTGACTAGGTCGACGTGCCTGATGAGGATCATCGCGTCGACGTACTCGTCCTGGTCGAGCGTCGCTGTGCCGTCGGCACCGAGGCGCTGGTGGACTCCGCAATCGGTGAAGAAGTCGTCGTGTTTACCCTTCATCTTGCCGAAGACGCCCCCGATGTGGCCGATAAATCAGTCGACGCCCCCTTGCGTCCTGCGGTCTTGAGATCGTCAGCGCGCATGGACTGCATGGGCACTTACTCTGAGCCGCTGGTATCACAGGTGCCGTGCGCCTTATGCTCGACCCCGAACTCAGGGACCCATCATGTCGGCCTAATGTTGCGCTCGGGCGAACGCGTGACCCTGGCGGGCTTCATGGAGAAAGTTCTGGGCGCATCCTTGCAGCCTGTGCCTGGCTTGGTGCAATGCAGGCGCTCGGTCCGCGCGTCGAAGGACTCGCGCCCTGGGGCCTGCCAGAGGATGGCAGCGCTGCCGGGCGGCAGGGTGAAGTTCACCTCTCGTGGTGCTTCGCCCTGCCCCTGCATCTCGGCATAGGTCATGCTGCAGCAAAGCCTTCTCGACGTTCGCGGCGACGGGCAGCCAGTCTGGGCGACGGGCCGCCTCTGAGGACAGAATGCGCAGGGGCGCCCGTGCGTCTCCAGGGCTCTGGCGTCCATGTCGCGGATGTCTCTCGGCGCCGTGCGGCGCTGGATGGTCCTGGCCGTCTTGTCGTCGGCGCCCTTGCGGTGCTTTCACTTGAACGCGTGTCTGGAGTCCATGGCGCCCCGAGCGCCTTTGGGAGGGCGTCGCTCGAAACGCTCGTGTTTGACCCAAATAGTGAGCCTCGAGGATGGCGGCGGCCATCTCCGCGGGCATCCTCGACGCCTCCTCTTTGGATGGCAGACCGGCGTCGCGCTTGATTGCCGCGGTCTTGGCGGCGGCGTGCACTTCGAGCGCGGCTGTTGTGCGCGCGCCGGCAACGTCGTGGCCCGCGTGGCAGCCCAAGAATGCCTCTCGCACTCTGGAGTCCACGTGCAACTCCGCGTGCTCTCCCCCTGCGTCCTCCTCCTCCTCTAGCTTGGCGTAGTCGTTTAAAGAGGCGCCGCGCAAGTAGGAGCGGCGCCGCGCGTGGGTGTGCTGGCGCTGCTGCGTCGCCAAGTGCTGGGGCCACTCGCGTTGCCGCGGTCTATGCTGGCGGCCGCGTGCTCGACCGCAGCGCGTGCCACCTGCTGGCTGTCGGCGCGCTGCATTTCCTGTAGCTCCTGGGTCAGATCCTCCGCGCCCTCGACTTCCTGCCGAGCTGCCGACGTCGCCTGCTGGATGTGGCGGAAGAAGTCGCTGTCGGTGAACCACCCTCGGTGACCGCCTTCGGTGACGCTGGCGGCGTCATCGGGGGCGCCGATAACAAAATCATCGACCGTCTCGTCCTGGTCCTGCCCGGCGTCGGTTGCCAGCAACTGTTCGTCGCCCAAGAGAAACTGGGTGACGCGAGCGTTCTTCCGCCAATGAGGCTGTGGGTGTCGAACTTGGCGCCGTCCATGTGCACGTGGTGGACGTCGCTTGGGTTCCGATGGGGGCAAGTAGATGAGCGGACTGCCGGTGCAGCCTGGCCAGTCACCCACGCATTTCTGGCCGCGAACGAGACGCGCGGCACACGGTCGTCAGTTAGCTAAGAGCAACTGCGGAACAAATGGCGCAAAGCGTCGAGGACATCGGGACGTTGCCGAACCTGCTCCGTCAGCTGCATGCCCTGCTCGTCCCAAGTGACCGATGGTCTTGGCTCCTGAGCCTAGCGTGATTTACTCTATGAATTCCTCCGCGCGATCCCAGGCCAGGCGTGCTCGCGCCATGCAAGTACCCATGTCGTCGAAGACGGCGCCGATAAAGGTCCGTGCGAACTGCTGTCTGCAGACCATCTCGGCGTTGCGGCACTTGGCCGCAACCTTGCCTCTGACTGGGTCCACAGAACAGACAGTGCCGAGACCTGCCCAGCTGGGCGCGTCCATTGTCCTGGGAAACCGGTGAGCCTCCACCTGATCACCAACGCTGAAGCGGCCCTCTCTGGTCTCTGTGGTGCGTGTCTGGAGTGCGCGGTCAACGCGGGCGATCGAAATGGCCTTGATCGTGCGCTGCAGGGCGATACCGCGAACGCGCCACTGCAATCGGCTGGGTTGCACCTCGTCGCCGACGGCGGGGCCGGCTCCGGCGACGTAGTCGCCCTCGCCCTCCTCGTCTGCTTCGCGAGACTTCCTGCCGAAGACGGCGTCGGATGGCGTAGCGCCGCCCGTTTTGGGAGGCTGTTGCCGGCGAAGATGGCATGGGCCAGCACGGAGTCGAAGTTGGCGGCGAATGCTATCGCGCTCCAGCTGCTCCACGGTGGCGACTACTGCGTGTCGTTGTATAGCACCGCGTCGCTCTATGAAACGACTGTGCTGACGCGGGGCGCGGATGTCCACCTGGTGCCCCCTCCTCTACATCTCCTCTACGAAGTTCTTGGAGGTCATCCCGCCTTCGCTGTCCATGATGAAGGTCTCCATTGATCCGAAGAGATGGGTCCAGGACCTGTCGACTGCTGCCAGCAGCGTTGAGTCCTATCTGTCCGTGATCTC